AGAGAGAGAGAGCAGAGAGATGAACAAATTGACTATACTTTCGAAAGGACAAAAAGAGGAAAATTTTGAAAAGACGTGGTCAAAATTTCACAGGTGGATTGAAGAATATATTAAATGAACTTTGTATGCAACCGAAGTACAAAATACAAAGAACATAATAAGAACTTTGATAGGAATACGTGCAAAACTTTAAAATAACATTATAAGGCATAGAAACTTATTTTTGTTAAGAGGAAAAATTTAAGAAACACTTAATGGTTAGATTCTCCTATTTTATGTTTGTGTTGTAGATTTGTTATGTCTTGGTTAGTGTTTCTTTCTTTCTTTCTTTGTTGTTGCTATAAAATAAAAAAGTATGGGGGGGTGGGAATAAGGGGCTGCACTGTTTGATGGGTCGGCCCTGTTTGTCTGTCTGTAGCAGCAGAAAAGAGTCCAGGAGCACCTTCAGGACTAACAAAATTGGTGGCAGGGGAGGAGCTAGAAAAGTAAAATTTCCAGAAATTCTGAAGCTCGGAAAAAAACCCATTTTTTTCCGGGGGGAAACGGAAATTTTTGGAAAAATTGGAAAAAATGCCACATTCGCACTTCTTTTTTCTTTTCCAGGAGTGGGGGAATCAAACCCGGTTCTCCCAGATTAGAGTCCGCGCCCTTCACCACTACACCAAACTGGCCCTCTTATGTGTGGGACAGTGATACTCTGTCTTCTTGGTGCTTGGGGGGCAACAGTGGGAGGGCTTCTAGTGTCCTGGCCCCACTGCTGGACCTCCTGAGGGCACCTGGTGTTTCTGGCCACTGTGTGACAGAGTGTTGGACTGGATGGGCCATTGGCCTGATCCGACATTGGCTTCTCTTATGTTCTTATGTCCCTCTGTGGCTATTATATTATATTATATCCATCTATGGCCAACATGGCTTCCCTTATGTTTTCATGGTTTTTATCAGCTGGCGCAGAAACTGGAAATCAAGAGGCTCTCCCCCCACTCACCGTTGCCATAAGCCCAGTCGTCGTTCATGCGGTGGCGCACTTTCTGGTAGATGGCAGACATGGTCTTCATGTTGCTCTTGCGCCACTGGCGCCCCAGGTACTTGGTCTGGATCTTCAGCAGCTTCAGGACGTAGAGCTGCATCATGGCTTGCTTCACTTTCAGGGCCCGCTTCAGGATCGGCGCCGACTTGAACACCACCAGCATCTACCCGCGCACCACGGAGGGAAGACGCAAGAGAACTGTACTAACGTGCATTTCTTCTGAGAGCTCTTTAAGGCCTTATAATGCACGGTCAGTAGAAAACAGCAAGAGTCCAGAAGCACCTTGAAGACTAACAAAATTTGTGGCAGGGGAGGAGCTTTCGTGAGTCACAGCGTGAGCCACTGTGTGAGACAGGAGGCTGGACTAGATGGACCCCTGGTCTGATCCAGCAGGGCTCTCCTGATGTTCCTATGAAGGCCTCGGCCTCTCTGCCCTGTTGTTGGCCCTCCAGAGGAACTGGTTGGCTCCTGTGTGAGACAGGATGCTGGATTAGGTAGACCACTGGTCTGATCCAGCAGGGCTCTCCTGATGTTCTTATGAAGGCCTCAGCCTCCAGAGGAACTGGCTGGCCCGTGTGAGACACAGGATGCTGGACTGGATGAACTACAGGTCTGACCCAGCAGGGCTCTTCTGATGTTCTTATGAAGGCCTCGGCCTCTCTGCCCTGTTGCTGGTCCTCCAGAGGAACTGGTTGGCCCCTGTGTGAGACACAGGATGCTGGGCCAGATAGACCCTTCATTGGTCTGATCCAGCAGGGCTCTTCTGATGTTCTTATGCCCACCTCCAGGTGGGGCCTAGAGATCTCCCAGTATTCCAGTTGATCTCCAGACGATACAGATCAGCTCCCCAGGAGAAACTGACTGTTTTGGAGACTGGGCTCTATGACACTGTACCCGGATGCGGTCTCTCCCCCTCCCCAACCCCCCCTCCCAGGCCAGCAGGCCAGCCCCCTCCTCACCATCGTCCGGGAATGTTTCCACTTGGTCAGTTTGTTGAGGATCCTCAGTAGGTTGATGCAAGAGAAAAGGTTCCGCCAGCAGAACTGGTTGTTGTCTCCCGTCTCCTGCAAACGAACAGGAAGGTGGAAAAAAATGACACTTCTGTCGCTGGTAGAGAGACCTAGGCAGGGCTCTTTTTGTAGAAAAAGCCCAGCTGGAACTCATTAGCCTACTAGGCCACACCCCTGACAGCGCAACTCATTGGCATTATAGGCCACACCCCCATGTTACTAGAAGTGTGCTCATCCAGCCACACCCACCTTTTGCTTCTTATTCTGTTTACCTTGTTTGTTGTCAAAACCCAGGGCCTTTTTTGTAGCAGGAACCCCTTTGCATGTTAGGCCACCCCCCCTAATGTAGCCAATCCTAATGAGTTTCTGCTGTTGGGTGTGGCAGATTATGCTAATGAAGTTCCTGCTGGGCGTGGCCAACTTGGGAGCCCGCCGGAACTCCGTTCCTGTGCGTTCCTGCCCCAAAATAGCCCTGGACCTAGGTTTGAATCCCTGCCCTGTTGTGAAAACTTGCTGGGGTGATCGTGGGCCAGTCACACACACACACACACACACACTTAAGCCTCACCTACCACACCTACCTCACAGGATTGTTGTGAGGATAAAAGGGAGGCGAGGAGAACGACCTAAGACGCTCAGGGATCCCATTGGGGACAAAACTGAGATATAAATGAAACAGATAAATATTTACAACTCTGTGCAAAAAACTTTCTTTTGTCTGGGGCAAGTGAGGCTCTGTATTCTTGGTGCTGGGGGGGGGGTCAACTGTGGGAGGGGCTTCTAGTGTCCTGGCCCCACTGATGGACCTCCTGATGGCAGCTGGTGTTTTTGGCCACTGTGTGACACAGAGTATTGGACTGGATGGGCCATTGGCCTGATCCAGCGTTTGCTTCTCTTGTCTTCTTATGTCTGGGGCAGGTGATGCTCTGTATTCTTGGTGCTTGGGCCCCAATGCCGGTGGACCTCCTAATGGCCCCTGGTTTTTGGACACTGTGTGACACAGAGTGCTGGACTGGATAGGCCACTGGCCTGATCCAACAGGTCTCCTCTTGTGTTCTTATACTTAGGGAGCAGTGATGCTCTGTCTTCTTGGTAATGTGGGGCAAGAATGGGGGTGCTCCTGGAGTTCTGGCCTCACTGCTGGACCTCCTGATGTGTGACACAGAATGTTGGACTGGATGGGCCACTGGCCTGATCCAACAGGGCTTCTCTTACATTCTGAAACTCCTGTGGCAGGTCCGTTCCCTCACTCAATATCTGCGCCTTTGATTTTTTTGTACCTAATTTGTACCGCTTCATGCCAGTCTTCATTCATACTCTGACTTTCTTCCCAATGGGATAATTGTCCCTCAGTCGCCCTGGCTGGTAATTCCCCATTTCATCCTCACAACAACCCTGTGAGGTAGGTTAGGCCAAGCATGTGTGGGGGGGCCCGGTTTATTCAAGCCACAGGTACAGCCAGTACAGATCTACGATGGCAGAGATTCCAAACAGGTTTTCTCCTTCCAGGGACAGATGCTCCTCCATTTTGGGGAGCGGAGGTGCAATTCCACTCTGCTCTGAATCTAAAGTTCATCCCTGCCACCCCCCGCTGCTGCTGATTTCTAGATGCACTAAGTGCATCCAAGTGAATTTGTCCCCATCCTAATTTTGTCAAGAAGAAGAAGAGGAGACGCCTGGGCTATCCAGGTCAGGGCGGAAAACTCACTGTTGATGAACAGCGAAACCAGAGTTTGCAGAAACTGCCACTAGAGGGCACTGTTGTCTCAGGGGAAAGGTCCGGCACAAATCCACATCTGGAGTCATTCCCCCACCCCCGAGTAAGACTCATTTCAAAGTGGGACCCGGCCCAACCAAGACCCATTTCCAGGCACCCTGGGGGCTCCTCTCGTTCATGAAGTCCTTAAAAGAAATTCAAACCTTGCCTACATGCACATTTGCTAGCCTCTTGCCTACCCTAATGAGGGCCAAAAGGAAGGGTTTAAATCCCGTCCAATAAAATAAATACGGTAGGCGACGGATACTATTTGAATGGCTCCCTGCAATTAATCCCCCCCCATCGAGTAAAGAACTAGCACAAAAGGGGGGAAAGAGACAGGCAAGCATTTGCTTCCCTTATCTGCTAGTTTTCTGCTTGCAAGGGATCATGGGAAAATGCCTGTCTCCCATGTACTGAAGCGATACAGATGCCATTCTACTATGCTAGGATTTCATAGAATCATAGAATGTTAGAGTTGGAAGGGACCTTGCAGGTCATCTAGTCCAACCCTTTGCACTCTGCAGGAGCACAGCCGAAAGATAGCCCAGCAACATACCCGAGAGATGGTCGTCCAGCCTCCGCTTGAAAACGTCCAGCAAAGGAGCACCCACCACCTCCAGAGGCAGTCTGTCCCACTGCTCAACCACTCTAATAGTTAGGAAGTTTCTCCTGATATTTAGCCAGTAACGACTCCCTTGTAATTCCCACCTGTTAGATCTAGTCTTACAATCCGGAGCAAGAGAGAATAGATCTCCATCTTCTACATGACAGCCCTTCAAATGCTTGAAGACTGCAATCATGTCCCCTCTAAGCCTTCTCTTTCCCAGGCTAAACAGACCCAGCTCTCTCAGCCTTTCCTCATAAGACTTGGATTCCAACCCTCCCACCATCCTGGTTGCCCTCTTCTGGACACGCTATGTGGAGGAGTGGGGAATCAAACCCGGTTCTCCCAGATTAGAGTCCGCCCTCCTAACCACCACACCAAACTGGCTACACGGCACCAAACAGGAAATACTACTTTACATCAGGACGGACGAAAGAAAAAACTCATTTACACAAGAGTGATTAAAATGTGGCATTTGCTGCCAGAGGATGTAGTGACGGCCACAGGAATAAACAGCTTGAAAAGGGGATGAGAGATTCATGGAGGAGAAGTCGGTCAATGGCTACTAGCCAATGTTCCCTCTAAGCTGAGTTAGTGTGAGCTGGCTCACAGTTTTTTGGCCTCCGGCTCACACATTGTTTGTTTCGGCTCAGGAAGGAGGGCTCCAGAGCAAACTAATCTATGCAGCAGCCCAATCACTTGCTCACAACTTTAATGCCAAGAGCTCAAGAAGTAGAATTTTTGCTCACAAGACTCCACACCTTAGAGGGAGCGTTGCTACTAGCTTGTGAGAGAGGGCCAGTTTGGTGTAGTGGTTAAGTGCGCGGACTCTAATCTGGGAGAACTGGGTTTGATTCCCCACTCCTCCACTTGCACCTGGCTGGATGACCTTGGGCAAGCCGTAGTTCTGATAAGAGCTGTTCTTGATAAAAGAGCAATTTCTGTCAAGAGCTCTCTCAGCCCCACCTACCTCACAGGGTGTCTAAAGGTGTCCCAGAGCAGCTTACAAACGCCTTTCCCTTCCCCTCCCCACCACAGACACCCTGTGAGGCGGGTGGGGCTGAGAGAGCTCTCTTGATAACTGCTCTTGAGAGAAGAAGAGATTGGGTTTATACCCCATGGCCCTTCACTACCCAAAGGTGTCCCAGAGTGGCTTACAAACTCCTTTCCCTTCCCCTCCCCACCACAGACACCCTGGGAGGCAGGTGGGGCTGGGAGAGCTCTCTTGAGAGAAGAAGAGATTGGATTTATACCCCATGGCCCTTCACTACCGGAAGAAGTCTCAGAGTGGCTCACAAACGCCTTTCCCTTCCCCTCCCCACAACAGACACCCTGAGAGGCAGGTGGGGCTGAGAGAGCTCTGACAGAAACTGCTCTTGAGAGAAGAAGAGATTGGATTTATGCCCCACCCTTCACTACCCAGAGGAGTCTCAGAGTGGCTCACAATCCTTCCCCTTCCCCTCCCCACAACAGACACCTTCTGAGGTAGGTGGGGCTGAGAGAGCTCTGACAGAAACTGCTCTTTTTCAAGAACAGCTCCGACAGAACTATGGCTCGCCCAAGGTCATCCAGCAGCTGCAAGTGGAGGCGTGGGGAATCAAACCCAGTTCTCCCAGATTAGAGTCCGCGCACTTCACCACGACACCAAACTGGCTCTCACACCAAACTGTCAAGAAGGATGTTATTATACTAATTTTACAGAGGACGGATCGAGGTGAAAAAAAGGCTGCAGTTGGGAACCTGGGATACAAGAAATCACAACGGACAAAAGAAGAAGAGACTGGATTTATACCCCACCCTTCACTACCCAAGGGAGTCTCACAGCCACTGACCATCTCCTTTCCCTTCCCTTTTCTGACAATAGACAACCCACGAGGGAGGTGGGGCTGAGAGAGCTCTTTCGAGGACTCCTTGTGAGAGAGCAGCTCCGAGAGAACTTGTGACTGACCCAAGGTCACACCAGTGGCTGCACGTGGAGGAGTGGGGAATCAAGCCCGGTTCTCCCAGATTAGAGTCCGCGGTCCTAACCACCACACCAAACTGGCTACACGGCACCAAACAGGAAATACTACTTTACATCAGGACAGACGAAAGAAAAAACTCATTTACACGAGAGTGATTAAAATGTGGCATTCGCAGCCAGAGGATGTAGTGACGGCCACAAGAATAAGCAGCTTGAAAAGGGGATGAGATAGATTCATGGAGGAGAAGTCGGTCAATGGCTACTAGCCAATGTTCCCTCTAAGCTGAGTTAGTGTGAGCTGGCTCACAGTTTTTTGTTCTCCGGCTCACACATTGTTTGTCTCGGCTCAGGAAGGAGGGCTCCAGAGAAAACTAACCTATGCAGCAGCCCAATCGCTCGCTCACACCTTTAATGCCGGTAGCTCACAAAGTAGAATTTTTGCTCACAAGACTCCACATCTTAGAGGGAGCGTTGCTACTAGCTTGTGAGAGAGAGCCAGTTTGGTGTAGTGGAGTGGACTCTAATCTGGGAGAACCGGGTTTGATTCCCCACTCCTCCACTTGCACCTGGCTGGATGACCTTGGGCAAGCCGTAGTTCTCCCAGAGCTGTTCTTGAAAAAGAGCAGTTTCTGTCAAAAACTCTCTCCGCCTCACCTACCTCCCAGGGTGTCTGTTGTGGGGAGGGGAAGGGTAAGGAGTTTGTAAGCCGCTCTGGAACTCCTTTGGGTAGTGCTGGCTGGCCCCTGTGTGAGACCGGATGCTGGACTGGATGGACCACTGGACTGATCCAGCATGGGTAGGCAGGCCCTTCTTACATTCTTACGTCATTTTCCTTCCACTTACCAAACTTTCTGCATTGAGCTCCGGTAACTCATGGACTGTGCAGGCGGGATAATCCAGGACTGAGATGCTTCAGGGAGACAGAAAGGGACAGCGCCGGGCATTTATTTATTTTATCGATAAACTCACATTTTAGAAACCGTTACAACCAACTCCCTCAAACATACATTACTGAAACGTTTTAAAAAACAGAGTTAAAAAAACCATACAAAACATAAAGACATGGGTTAGGAAGGAGGGGAATCACCGAGGGAAATTAACGAATTACCGTCTGGCCGTGTGTGTTGTATAGCCAGGAGATCCTAAGATTGTCTGGCCGCCACAAGTTCCAGCTCTTTTTAGCATTATGCACCACTGGGGGGCGAGTTAGACTTGGGGTTTTTTTTTAAAGCAACAGGCATTTCAGAGGTGGTTTGCCCTTGCCTGCCCCTGCATCCCAGCCCTGGTATACCATGGAGGTCGCCCATCAAAGGACTAGCTGGGGCTGACCCTGCTTAGCTTCTGAGATCTGACGGGATCAGGTTAGCCTGGGCCAGCCAGGTCACTGAGGGAATGCCAAACGAAACAAAGAAGTCTTCACCCGCCAGTAGAAAACGGTGACGGAAGAGGGCGGACAATTTTTTCGGGTTCCAGAGCTTTGGGGCCACTACCAAGAAGGCCTCCTCCTGGGTTGCCCCACCTGCCTAATCACGGAAGGCAGGAGCATCCAGAGCGGGGGCCCTGCAGGTGCTTGTAATGGTTGGGAAGAGGAGGAAGAGGAAGAAGAAGAGGAAGAGGAGAATAAGGAGGAAGAGGAAGAAGAGGAAGAGGAGGAAGAGAAGAAAAAGAGGAGGAAGAGATTTATACCCTGCCCTTCACCACCTTAAGGAGTCTCACAGCATCTTATAATCTCCTCTCCCTTCCCCTCCCCAAAACAGACACCCTGTGAGCAATGCTCCCTCTAAGCTATGGAGTTCTGTGTGCAAAAATTGTTCTTGGTGGGCTGCTGGCATTGAAGTTGTGAGCAGGTGATTTGGCTACTGCATAATTAGTTCGCTCTGGAGCCCTCCTTCCTGAGCTAAGACAAAAATGTGTAAGCCAGAGGCTAAAAAACTGTGAGCTGGCTCACGCTGACTCAGCTTACAGGGAACACTGCCTGTGAGGTAGGTGGGGCTGAGAGAGCTCTGACAGAAACTGCTCTTCTTCAAGAACAGCTGTGGCAGAACTATGGCTTACCCAAGGTCATCCAACAGCTGCAGGTGGAGGAGTTGGGGCTGAGGGTGCTCTTTCAAGAACCACCCTTGAGAGAACAGCTCTGAGAGAACTTGTGACTGACCCAAGGTCACACAGGCAGCTGCATGTGGAGGAGGAGTGGGAAATCAAACCCGGGTTCCGCAGATTAGTGCTCCTGGCCAGTCCAGCATTCCCTCTAAGCTGAGCTAGTGTGAGCTAGCTCACCGTTTTTTAGCCTCCGCCTCACACATTTTTGCCCTCGCTCAGGAAGGAGGGCTCCAGAGCAAACTGATTGATGCAGCAGCCAAATCTCCCGCTCACCACTTTCATGCCAGCAGCTCACAAAGTAGGATTTCTGCTCACTACAGCGCTCAGAGGGAGCCTTGCTGGCCACTACACCAAACCGGCTCTCCTCAGTTCCCTGCCGCTACAGATCGTTTACAAAAGTAGGATTTCTGCTCACAAGACTACAGAGCTCAGAGGGAGCATTCCCTCCCCTGTGAAATATGTGGCCCTAGGTAGGTTAATTAACTACTACAAATAATAGTAGTACAGTTGTAAACCGCTCTGAGGACCCCTTAGGGATCAAGGGTGGTATATAAACCAAAGGTAAATAAATAAATAAATAAAAAATTTAAAACAGCCTCGGGGCCTGCGAGGGGAAAGGACCCGGGGAAGGGGCTTCATTGGCCTGTACACCATTACCTGTTTTTGGCAGTTATGTAGGACATGATGTTTTGGTTGAAGAACTTCAGGATTAGCGGGATGCAGTTGGCAAACACCAGGTGTTGCGAGACGTATTCAAACTGGAAAAAAAATAAGAGGAAAGGGATTGGGTGCTCGCAGCACACGGCGCTCGCCAGTTCTGCCAAAAGTCCTGTCAGCCGCTGGGTTTAGACATCTCCATCACGTGTGTGAGAACTGCAGTCATCAATCAGAAGCCTGGGGTCTTCTGGGCTTTTGTGGGACTGCAGTCATCGTGTGGTAGCCTGGGCTGTTTCAGGCCTTCACATTGCTTCGAGAACTGCAGCCATCACGTGGTAGCCAGGGCTGTTTCTGGCCTTCACGATGCCGCAAGAACTGCAGCCATCATGTGGTAGCCATGGCTGTTTCAGGCCTTCACGATGCCGCAAGAACTGCAGTCATCACTTGGTAGCCTGGGCTATTTCAGGCCTTCATGATGCCGCAAGAATTGCAGCCATCACGTGGTAGTTAGGCTGTTTCAAGCCTTCGCGATGCTGCAAGAACTGCAGTCATCACGTGGTATTCAGGGCTGTTTCAGGCCTTCGCGATGCCGCAAGAACTGCAGTCATCACGTGGTAGCCAGGGCTGTTTCAGGCCTTCGCGATGCTACAAGAATTGCAGTCATCACATGGAAACCTGGGCCATTTTAGGCCTCCGTGACCCTGCTTCAAACCAGGCAAGAAATTGGGACTCAGTCCAGTAAGCACAGTGAAATGCTCCCGAACGACAGATAAATCTGTTTTAAAAAAAACCCAGCAGTAATGCAACTCTCAGCGGAGGAGCCGAGGGACAGGAAAGCCCGTTTGAGCTCTTCGAGCCCCCCGGGAAGCTCACCTGATAAACGTGGTTCAGCTTGAAATGCTTCAGGAGCAGGAGCAGCAGAGCCGAGATGCTCTTCACAATGATCTCCTTGTGCCGGTTCACGTCGATGCCCAGCTTCATGCTCTGCAGGACGGTGATGCTGGACCAGGAGAAAGAGACCAAACGTGAGAGCGGCCCTGCCGGACCCAACCGAGGGGCGACTGGACCTCACTGTGGCCCACAGAGGCTGTTTCCGGGAAGTCTGCAAGCCGGGCGTGCAAGGCTACAGCTTTCCCGGCCCCCATTATCCAGAGGTACACTGCCTCTGAACATGGAGGTTCCACTTAGCCACTGTAAGACATTCCTTCTATGCAGGGGTCATTTCGTAGAAAAAGAGGTGCAGGGGCTCATTAGCATAACTTATTTGCATACGCCACACCCCCTGACGTCACCGGAAGTGTGTCAGAAGGCAAAACCCACCGCTCAGGCTCCTCTGGACTGTTTTGGATTGCTAGCTATTGGGGGTGGGGGGAGAACGTGCAGCTCTGTCCTCACAGAGAAGGGAGAGCTTGTACCTGAATAAAACTAGCTCTATCGACTTGTCTTAATACAGGGGCCAATCAGTTCCTCTTGAGGACCAACAACAGGGCAGAGAGGCCGAGGCCTTTATAAGAACCTCAGAAGAGCCCTGCTGGGTCAGACCAGTGAAGGTCCATCCAGTCCAGCCTCCTGCCTCACACGGGGGCCAACCAGTTCCTCTGGAGGGCCAACCACAGGGCAGAGAGGCCGAGGCCTTTATAAGAACCTCAGAAGAGCCCTGCTGGGTCAGACCAGTGAAGGTCCATCCAGTCCAGCCTCCTGCCTCACACGGGGGCCAACCAGTTCCTCTGGAGGGCCAACCACAGGGCAGAGAGGCCGAGGCCTTTATAAGAACCTCAGAAGAGCCCTGCTGGGTCAGACCAGTGAAGGTCCATCCAGTCCAGCCTCCTGCCTCACACGGGGGCCAACCAGTTCCTCTGGAGGGCCAACCACAGGGCAGAGAGGCCGAGGCCTTTATAAGAACCTCAGAAGAGCCCTGCTGGGTCAGACCAGTGAAGGTCCATCCAGTCCAGCCTCCTGCCTCACACGGGGGCCAACCAGTTCCTCTGGAGGGCCAACCACAGGGCAGAGAGGCCGAGGTCTTCCCCTGATCAGAACACCAAAAGAGCCCTGCTGGATCAGACCATTGCGGGTCCCTCTAGTCCAGCATCCGGTCTCACCCAGTGGCCAACCTGTTCCTCTGGAGGGCCAACAACGGGGCAGGGAGGCTGAGACCTTGATAAGAACATCAGAAGAACCTTGCTGGATCAGACCAGTGAGGGTCCATCTAGCCCAGCATCCTGTCTCACACAGAGGCCGGCCAGTTCCTCTGGAGGACCAACAAAACGGCACAGAGGCCGAGGCCTTCATAAGAACACCAGAAGAGCCCTGCTGGGTCAGACCAGTGAGGGTCCATCTAGTCCAGCCTCCTGCCTCACACAGCGGCCAGCCAGTTCCTCTGGAAGGGCAACAACAGGGCATGGAGGCCGAGGCCTTCTCCTGATGTAGCTTCCTGGCTCTGGGATTCAGAGAGCTAGTGCCTCCGCATGTGGAGGTTCCCCTCAGTCACCACGGTAATGATGTGTTGCTGCCGGAAAAGACACCCATGAGCTAAGGTCGCTGCCCTCAAACTGAAGGAGCCAGCCTTCCGGAAAGGGGGCGAAACTTATACCCTTCAGTGACGTTGCAAATTTCACTTTCCAAGACCCAAATCCACCCCTTCCTCCTTCCCAGAAACCAGACAGCCCTTCAGCTGCCGCCTAGCTCTATCGGCTCGGAGACAGCCCCGCTCCCCTCCGGCAGCTGTCCGTCAATCAAGGACTCACGGCATCTCTTCAGGTAGGACATCGGCCAGGATGTTGATAGAGTCCGTCTTGGCTTTGGAGGTCGGGGCGGCGGCCAGAAGGATCTTCAGCAACGCTATCTGCAGGAAGCAGGGACGGAAACCGTCAGTCCCTAAAGGAGGGCCCTGCTGTGGTGCCTACAGGTATCTCCTCGCCTCTCTCCCCCCCTTTCATTCTAAGAAGGGGAGGTCTTAAATCCAGCCTGGGTTCCGGGCAGCCTCATCCCATATCCCTCTTCTTTGCAAGGAGTTTCCTGTCCCTCCTGCAAATTGAAGGCCAGACTAAGCTCTGGCGGTTTTGTATGTGACTGCTATTGTAGGACCTGGGTTTTAACTTGTAACGCAAGATCTTAATTATATAATTTTAACTCTATGTACATCAACCCAAAGGAGCTGTGGTGGCTCTGGTGGTTAAGACGCTGAACTGCAAGCTGTGGAACGTCGGTAGTTCAGCAGTTCGAGACCCGGGTGTGCCGCATGACGGAGTGAGCTCCCGTCTCTAGTTCCAGCTCCTGCCAACCTAGCAGTTCGAAAGCAAGAAATTGCAAGTAGATGAATAGGTACCCCTTCGGTGGGAAGGGAACAGCGATCCGTGCGCCTTGGTGTTTAGTCATGCCGGCCACATGACCATGGAAACGTCTTCGGACAGCGCTGGCTCTTCGGCTTGGAAACGGAGATGAGCACTGCAACCCTAGAGTCGGATTCGACTGGCTTTCGAGCAAGGGAACCTTTACCTTTACCTTTAAGCTTAGAACAGGAAGTACTTCTTCCCCCAAAGAGTAATTGACATTTGGAATTCACTGCCCTTGCCTGCCTCTGCAAAGCAACCCTGGACTTCCTCGGTGGTCTCCCATCCAAGTACTAACCAGGGCTGACTAGAGATGTGAAGGCCCGGAAAACCCCCGGAAAAAAAACAGTTTTTTCCCCTGAAGCCTTTTTTGTTTTTTTTCGAAAAATTGAAAAAAGAAAAGAAAAAGGGGGGGGGAGATTGATTATGGAACATTTTATTTTAACATGATGAATCAAGTATTTTAAGAAAAGGTGTTCAAATATTTTCCAAATCATTTCTAAAAAAATATGTATGGTCTCAGATTGATCTGATTTCTGTGGGCATGGAGGACAAGCAAGTCCTAGGTTACAAACTGAACTCTCCAATGCAAGAACAAGATGTATTTCTTCCTTTAGGAGGTGCTGTTGTCACAAGAAAAGAAAAAGGTTTCAGGGTTTTGTTTTTGCATGTGGGCGGGTATTCTGTTTGTAATGACTGTTTGGATGCACTATATTTTAATATGCTAGTTGTGATCATTTCATGCCAAGTAAAAATGTCCATAGTCGTATTTTATATTCCTAAAGTAACAGAATGACTTTCAATATCCGGAGAAGAAAAAAGAAGTGCTAATGTAGCATTTCCCCCCCATAATTTTCCCGAAAATTTCCGTTCCCCTCCCTGAAAAAACCCGGGTTTTTTTCCCGTGCTTCAAAATTTCCGGAAATTTTACATCTCTAGGGCTGACCCTGTTAGTTCCCCAGCTCCGACAAGTCCAAACTAAGCTGGGCCATCCAGATCTTTTGCAAGCCTGCTTCCTTAAAGGTGCCAATGGATTGAAGCAGAGATGTCATGCATCGAATCCAGGACCCCCTCCACGCACCCCTGCAAAACAAAGAAGCCGTCCCTCCCCGCACCCAACTCCACAAGGTCAGTACAGAGGAAGATCGGCAACAATACAAGTGTCTCCCACAAGAACGTGATCAAATCTGGGTAAGTAGATCTAGCCAAGGAGAGCCAGGAGGAACCTACTGCAAGCCCCACAGCACATGTTTGGGCTCGATCCCCAGGATCCTCTCTTTCAACTTTTTCCTACCATTGCAAGAATTCTGAGCGGCCTTCCTGCTTATGCACATACTATGCAGTCTCTTCTAATGCACACACAAGTTACGCACCATGTACTGTGGCAAGTTGTACAACATCGCCCGGTACAGTATTTCACAGGGGGTCTCTTCCACATCCTCTTCCCCCTGGAAGAAGGGGAGGGGCGGGAAAGAAAAGCTGTAAGGCACAGTACGTAAGAGAAGCCCATGTTGGATCAGGCCAGTGGACCACCCAGTCCATCACTCTGTGTCACACAGGGGCCAAAAATACCAGGGGCCATCGGGAAGTCCACCAGTGGGGACAGAACTCCAGAAGCCCTCCCACTGTTGACCCCCCAAGCTCCAAGAATACAGAGCATCCCTTGCCCCAGACATAAGAACATAAGAGAAGCCCATGTTGGATCAGGCCAGTGGCCCACCCAGTCCATCGCTCTGTGTCACAGAGTGGCCAAAAACACCAGGGGCCATCAGGAGGTCCAGCAGTGGGACCAGGACACTAGAAGCCCTCCCACTGTTGCCCACCCCCCAAGCCCCAAGAATACAGGGCATCCCTTGCCCCAGACATAGGAACATAAGAGAAGCCATGTTGGATCAGGCCAATGGCCCACCCAGTCCAACACTCTGTGTCACACGGTGGCCAAAACCCAGGGGCCATCAGGAGGTCCAGCAGTGGGACCAGGACACTAGAAGCCCTCCCACTGTTGCCCACCCCCCAAGCCCCAAGAATACAGGGCATCCCTTGCCCCAGACATAGGAACATAAGAGAAGCCATGTTGGATCAGGCCAATGGCCCACCCAGTCCAACACTCTGTGTCACACGGTGGCCAAAACCCAGGGGCTATAAGGAGGTCCACCAGAGGGGCCGGAACACCCGAAGCCCTCCCACTGTTGCCCTCCAAGCACCAAGAAGACAGAGCATCACTGCCCCAGACAGAGTGTTCCCTCTATACCTTGTGGCTAACAGCCACTAAGAACATAAGAGAAGCCATGTTCGATCAGGCCAGTGGCCCCTCCAGTCCAGCACTCTGTGTCACACAGTGGCCAAAACCCAGGTGCCATCAGGAGGTCCACCAGTGGGGCCAGAACTCCAGAAGTCCTCCCACTTTTGTCACCCAAGCATCAAGAAGATAGAACATCACTGCCCCAGACAGAGTGTCCCCTCTAGACCTTGTGGCTAATAGCCACTGATGGATGTCTGTTCCATATAAGAACATAAGAGAAGCCATGTTGGATCAGACCAATGGCCCCTCCAGTCCAACACTCTGTGTCACACAGTGGCCAAAACCCAGGGGCCATCAGGAGGTCCACCAGCAGGGCCAGAACTCCAGAAGTAGTCAAAAATATGTTCTTAAGGACACATGAAATGAACAAGGGGGACGGAAGCAGAGGAGAGTGATGAGGATGATTGGGGGCCTGGAGACCAAGCCCTATGAGGAAAGGCTGAGGGACTCGGAAATGTTCAGTCCAGAGAAGAGGACATTGGAGGGGGACGGGATGGCTCTCTTGAAGTCTTTGAATAGACCCCTTGGAAGCGGCTTACCAAAGACAAGGGACACTTCTCGAGCTCCTCTTCATTCTTGATCTGCACATCGGAGATGGAAATGTACTTGTGCTGAAGGCAAAGAGGGAGAGGAAGGGAAGAGATCTAAAATCAGGACCCTTAAAACACACAAACACTGGCGAAACGAATGCAGACATGAACACACTTGAAGCTGCCTTCGACTGAATCTGACCCTTGGTCTATCAAGGTCAGTATTGTCTACTCAGACTGGCAGTGGCTCTCCAGGGTCTCGGACAAAAGGTCTTTCCCATCGCCTCCTGCCCGGTCCGTTTTAACTGGCGATGTCGGGGACTGAACCTGGGACCTTCTGCATGCCAAGCAGAGGCTCTGCCACTGAGCCACCGCCTTATATTGAACCAGACCATCTGTCCATCAAGGTCAGTCTTGTCTACTCCGACTGGCAGCATCTCTCCAGGGTCTCAGGCAGAGGTTTTTCCCATCACCTACTGTCAAAGTCCTTTCAGCTGGAGATGCCGGGGATTGAACCTGGGACCTTCTGTATGCCAGGCAGAGGCTCTGCCACTGAGCCACAGTCCCTCTTCACAGCTCTCCAGGGTCTCAGACGGAGGTCTTTCCCATCACCTCCTGCCTGGTCCTTTTTAACTGGAGATGCCGGGGATTGAACCGGGGACCTTCTGCATGCCGAGCTGATGCTCTATCGCTAAGCCATGGTCCCTCCCCTCTAGGAAGCTGCTTTAGCCGCTGTCCCAGCTCTCTATGGTTCAAACTCCCACAGCATCAGGTGCCGCTTGCTTACTTGCTGCGCCCCGAAAGCAGCTGGTCAAAAGAAGGAACTGCAGGAACTTCAAGCCAGCGAACCAACCTGCTAGGTAAAGCCTCTCTAGCCAGGGAGTCGGGAAAGGGCCAGTCCTGCCCCATAATCACTGGAATCCCCGACTAAGAAGTTTCAGCGGATAGCCACATTTGGTCTGCTGTCGAAGAGCCGGATTCAAATCCAGGAGCCCCCGCAGTTTCCCCCTCTGCGCCACCGCCAGGGTGGCCCAACGGATCAGCCACCAGAGTTTGACCCCCAGGAGACAGCTGTGAATTTCACACATGCGAAGACGACGGTGTCTGCAGCCCGCCCACCCCCACTTCTTTGCTAGGAAACTTTGGAACTACCTGCTTCAGAGTCTTCACGCTTTCATGGATGGGGCGCGGGAGGCCGACTAAGGTATCTGTGTCCCTGGGGAAACAGAAAGGAGAAAGGAGGGTGTCAGGACCCACAGCTAATCAACGAAGTACACGCTTCTAGGAAGGTTTTACTTTTATTGAAAAGCCATAGATGCGATAACATGAACACTGTTAGGAATGGCGGGATACCTGTGCGCATAATAGGATATAGGGCATTCGTATGCCCCCCCCCCCTTAGCAATCACCAATTAAGAGTGCTCCCGCGCGCGGGATACTGTTGGACTCTCTAAGGGTTGCGAAGCTGGGAACGGAGACGCTCCCACGGACGACAGACACCACATTCTCCACCAGTACAACATCAAAGATAAGCGTTACAGCTCTGAAGCAATTAAGCGCATGGGAAGGAATGCAAAGCAATACTAAAACATCTCCACACTCATGGCAGCGTAGCTGACAGAGGGGAAGACAGGGAGGGAGCCACGTTCAGGGACAAGTGGCACGAGGTAGGGCCCCCCCCAGAGTTTCTTCCCTCTCCCAGAATGTGGGGTTGCCAGCCTCCAGGAGCAGCCTGGAGATGTCCCAGAATCACAGCTCGTCTCCAGACTGCAGAGATCAGCTCCCCTGGAAGAAACGGCTGCTCTGGAGGGTGACTATATGCCAGGGATGGCCAAACTGCGTCTCGGGAGCCACATGCGGCTCTTTCACACATATTGTGCGGCTCCCGGCAGGGCAGCTGGGGAAGCGAAGGGGAGGCGTGCTTCGTCTCTCTCCCTCCCATCTATTTGCTTTCCTTGTTTTCTCTCTCTCTCTTTCACCCTTTCCTCCCCCCTCTATTTGCTTTCTCTCTCTCTCTCTCTCTTTCTTTCCACCTCTTTCATTCTTTCCACCTTTATATCTTTCTCTCTCTCTCTCTCTCTTAGACAAATAAATATCATTAGCAAACAAATAAATACAATTGGACAAATAAATATCATTATCAGTATCTGTTTTTATCCCTTTTTGTTTTTATTTTTGGCGGTCTCATTTATGATGTTCATAAGAAACAAATTTGCCTGTTTTTAAAATAAAAAACGTGGGTGTAAATATCTGTTCGTGTCTTGCGGCACTCAGGCACCTGAGTTTTATTCTACGTGGCTCTTACGTTGAGCAAGTCTGACCGCCCCCACTACGTACCCCGACGGAGGTCCCTCCCCACTCCAAATCCTGCCCTCCACCCCAGGCTCCACCCCCAAATCTCCAGGAATCTCCTGACCCACAATTGGCAGCTCTGCCCCAGCTGCGTAATACTCACTGGCCGAGGGTGAAGCCAATGAATTTGTTCCTGCTCGCCTCCAGGAAGTGTTCGATATCTTTCTGCCTGGAAGAGAGGAAGAGGAGGAGGAAGAGGAGGAAGAAGAGGGAGGAGGAGGAGACTGGATTTATACCCCGCCCTTCACTACCCAAAGGAGTCTCAGAGCAGCATCCAATCTCCTTTCCCTTCCCCTCCTCACAACAGACACCCTGTGAGGCAGGTGGGGCTGAGAGAGCTCTCTCGAGGACTGCCCTTGAGAGAACAGCTCTTGAGAGGACTTGTGACTGACCCAAGGTCACACCAGCAGCTGCATGTGGAGGCGTGGGGAAGCAAACCTGGTTCTCCTAGATTAGTGTCCGTGCTCCCAACCACTACACCAAGTAGAGGAGCAGTTGTGGGGGGGGGGGAGAAGTAGGCACACATCCTTAACTCAGTATGGGCAACAAATCCCACCGGTAGCTCAGCAGCATGAGAGAAATGCATGAAGCTGCCATGAAGCTCCATCAGTGTCAGTATTGTCTACTCAGACTGGCAGCAGCTCTTCAGGATCTCGGGCAGAGAGATCTGTCCCATCCCCTCCTGCCTGGGCTTTTTCACTGGAGATGGTGAGGTTTGAACATGAGACCTTCTGCATGCCAAGCAGTCGCTCTAGCAGACTTTTAGTCCATCAGAGTCAGTATTGTCTACTCAGACAGGCAGGGGCTCTCCAGGGTCTCAGGCAGAAGTCTTACATTCACGGCTGGTGGACATGCCCTGTTATGGTGCAATGTCGGACCACTGTTCTTAAACTGATTCATGACATTAAAGGTAAAGGTAAAGGTTCCCTTGCTCGAAAGCCAGTCGAGTCCGACTCTAGGGTTGCGGTGCTCATCTCCGTTTCAAAGCCGAAGAGCCAGCGCTGTCCTAAGACGTTTCCGTGGTCATGTGGCCGGCATGACTAGACACCAAGGCGCACGGAACGCTGTGACCTTCCCACCGAAGTGGTACCTATTTCTCTACTTGCCATTTCTTGCTTTTGAACTGCTAGGTTGGCAGGAGCTGGAACTAGAGACGGGAACTCACTCCGTCATGCGGCACCCGGGTCTCGAACTGCTGAACTACCGACCTTCCACAGCCTGCAGTTCGGCGTCTTAACCACTTGAGCCACCGCAGCTCCTGGCTCAAGTAATGACATTACTGGGCACAATATCCCTAAAAGGCCAAAACTTGTCTTGCTTAATTTATGGGAGGGAAAAGATGTTCCTGCTGTCAGGAAAGATCTCATCTCTGATATATCGGTGGCAGCCAAGACTTTAGTGGCTAGGCATTGGCCAAATAGTAAACAGCCATCCTCCATGATGTGGTTTAATAAGTTATGGGAATACCTGGTCATGGAGAAAAGATCAGAAGCTATATCCTTGGCAGAGAATCCAGAGTTCCAATCAGGTTTTTTGAAATGCTGGTTTCCCTTTCTTGAGTATGTGGAAAGACACGGTAAGCTGAAAAAAGGCACTTCCAGATACTTTGAAGGTTATAGCTATATATTGAATAGCTGTTTGGTTTTACTGCCCTTGTGCTTTTTTTGTTATTAATTATGTTTTTATTGTAGTGGTTCCCTAATAGTATGTGCTATTGTAAATCGTTGCTGTATTATATAAGAAAAAGTTATTTATTTAAAGAAGAAGTCTTCCCCATCACCTCCTGCCTGGTCCTTTTTAACTGGAGCTGCCGGGGACTGAACCGGGGACCTTCTGCATGCCAAGCAGAGGCTTTGCCACTGAGCCACGGCCCCTCTTTACAGCTCTCCAGGGTCTCAGGATGAGGTCTTTCCCATCCCCTCCTGCCTGGTCCTTTTAACTGGAGATGCCGGGGATTGAGCCTGGGACCTTCTGCATGCCAAGCAGAGGCTCTGCCACTGAGCCACAGCCCCTCTTTACAGCTCTCCAGGGTCTCGGGTGGAGGTCTTTCCCATCCCCTCCTGCCTGGTCCTTTTAACGGGAGATGCCGGGGATTGAACCTGGGACCTTCTGCACGCCAAGGAGATGTTCTGCTACTGAGCCACGGCCCCTCTTTACAGCTCTCCAGGGTCTCAGGCAGATGTCTTTCCCATCCCCTCCTGCCTGGTCCTTTTAACGGGAGATGCCGGGGATTGAACCTGGGACCTTCTGCACGCCAAGCAGAGGCTCTGCCACTGAGCCACGGCCCCTCCCCAAGCCATCTTGCAGCCTCCAGCTCTGCAGAACGGAGCGGCATTTGCGCTCAGAAGAGCGAACACCCAGAGGTGAAAGATTCCTTCTGAAATCTGATATTTTTTAGGCCAAGGACAGCACTTGAGTGGATTGGTCAAGCCCCGCCTGAGGGGGCTCAGTTGATTTCCTCAAAGGAAGAATGAACCAGCACCAGAGAGCAACCTCACTGTTTATGACCCACAGGGCTTGTTCGAGAGAAGCCCGTTTGGCCCTGAAAGGCCGCTCTGAACAGGTGGAAAGAAAACAATGCGATGAATAGGACAAGAGGACACAACCCACGCCGGAATCCCGTGGACTACATCTGGGCCACAAGAACGTCAAGCACAAATATTGGATGGGGGATACATTTCTGGGGAGTGGTGTATGCGAACGAGATCTTGGGGTAGGGGTGGACTGGAAACTGAATATGAGCCATCAGTGTGATGCGGTGGCAAAAAAGGCAAATTCAGTCTTGGGTTGTATTAAAAGGGCCATAGCATCGAAATCGCAGGAGGTCATCGCCCCTCTCTGTATACTGCCTGGGTCAGGCCGCACCTGGAGCCCTGTGTGCAGTTCTGGAGGCCTCACTTCCAAAAGGATGTGGGCAAAATCAAGAGGGTGCAGAAGAGAGCGACGGGGACGATCAGGGGTCTGGAGACTGAGCCCTACGAGGAAAGGCTGAGGGCCCTGGGAATGTTTAGTTTGGAGAAGAGGAGACTTGAGGGGGGACAGGATTGCTCTCTTTAAATATCTGAAAGGCTGTCATGTGGAGGAGGGCAAGGAACTGTTGCAGTGGGCAGCAGAGAAGAGGACCCGAAGCAACGGGATTAAATTACAGGCAGAAAGGTATCGGCTGGATATTGGGAAACACTTTTTCCTGGTCAGAGTGGTTCAGAGGCGGAATCAGCTGCCCAGGGAGGTGGCGAGCTCCCCTTCACTGGCAGCTTTGAAGAAGAGGCTGGATGAATATTTGTCAGGGATGCTTTAGGCTGGTCCTGCATTGGGCAGGGGGTTGGGCTAGATGGTCTGTATGGCCCCTTCCAGCTCTATGGTTCTACGACAGGACCACCTTGCCCCACATGTTCCCCCAAGAGCACTATGGTCTGGGGCCCAAAATCTGTTAGTCATCCCGGGGCCCAAGGAAATTAAACTAGCTGCGACCAGGGTCAGGGCTTTTTCGGTGGCGGCTCCTACCTGGTGGAATGAGCTCCCGGGGGAGATCTGGGTCCTGCGGGACCATATGCAGTTCCGCAGGGCCTGCAAGACAGAGCTCTTCCGCCAGGCCTTTGAGTAGGAGCCGCCACCTAGGGCTGCCAAATCGTATCTTAAGGGATGCATCAACGAGGCCCAAGGAAGAAGCTGGAAATCGTAGAAGAGCTGCGGCCATCGTCACTGGACACGTACTTTATGGGAGTACCATCTGTAACTGTGGAGTTACCATCTTGGACTTAGGACATTAGTAACGGATTGAACACTGTGGTTTTAATGTTGAATGTTTTATTATGTTTTTATATGTTTTATCTCGGCATGGCTGTTGTCCTGCCCTTGTCAGCCGCCCTGAGCCCACTGAGGAGGGCGGGATATAAATGTGAAAAAATTAAATAAAAAATAATTAAAAAATTCAACTAGTGGCAGAAACATGGCATCGTTCTTCGGGAGAGCGTGGATCCCCAACATTGTGCTATTACTATCGACCCCCAAGAGCATTCTCTGCATAGGGCAAGGGCGGGGAAGCGAGGGGGGGAAGTACCTGACTTTGGGGGCCCAGGGCAGACCCTTGGGGAAGGAGACCCTTTCGACCGGCGGGCGTGGCACCGAGACTGGCTGGACGACCGTGTCCCGCTCCAACAGGTCCAGCTCCCCCTCGATCCCGCTATCGACCTCGTCGGCCTCTTCCTCGTCTGCCCCCAGCTCGTCGTTCTTGAAGGGGTCTCGCTCGTTGTAGATGTCCAGGCTGTCTTGCTTCATCAGCGGCTGCGTGCGGGAAGAGGGGGAGACGTTAGTGAAGGGCGGGGTATAAATCCAATCTCTTCTTCTTCTAGTCCCATCTGGAGACTGGTAACCCTAAATGAGAGGCAACCCCCCCCCCACATCCCAGTTCCCAGCACACCTGGGACCAGGAGGGTAATCAAACATCCCCCCGCCCAGTGTTCCCTCTAAGCTGAGTTAGTGTGAGCCGGCTCACAGCTTTTTAGCCTCCAGCTCACACATTTTTGTCTTCGCTCAGGGAGGAGGGCTCCAGAGCAAACTGATTTATGCAGTAGCCAAATCGCTCGCTCACAACTGAGCCCACTGGGGAGGGCGGGGTATAAATACGAAAAATAAATAAATATAAATAAATAAACTTCAGTGCCAGTAGGCTCACAAAAGTTGATTTTTGCTCGCAAGACTCCACAGCTTAGAGGGAGCATTGCCCCCGACCCCCCCCTCCCCTCCGCCGCCTGGCTCTTACCCTCCTGCTCCGGTGACCCCGTTTCTGCTGCTGCTCCACCAGCTCGATGGTGTAGGCGGGGGGAGAGGCAGCCCGCATGCTGCGCATGACCTGAATGCTGTCCTCTGGCAGAGGCGGGAGAGCCAGCTCCCCCCGCTTCCTCACTTTCATGGCCTGGAGGGCTTCGAAACCGCCCAGAGTGAACTGCGGGGACAGAAAACACGACACCCCTGCAGGGTGGGACTGGAGGTGCCCGACTGACGCGTGCAAGGAAACAAAGTGGCCAAAAAGAGACCAGACCAACTCAGAATACAGGCATGTGGCCCTGAGTCTTCTAGCCCAGACGAGCCCGATCTCGTCAGATCTCGGAAGCTAAGCAGGGTCGACTCTGGCAAGTACTTGGATGGGAAGACCTCCTTGGAATCCCAGAGGCGGGGGCAGGCTTTATTCCGCCACCTCTCTGAATATCCTCCAGGCCCCCGGTAAGGGCAGTCACCAGAGGTTACCATGACTTCCAGGTACACACACACATAGAATTCATAGAATGTCGGAAGGGACCTTTCAAGTAATCTAGTCCAACCCCCTGTACTCTGCAGGAGCACAGCCGAAAGATAGCCATACAACTTCCCCAGAAGATGGCCATCCAGCCTCCGCTTGAAAATGTCCAGCGAAGGAGCCTCCACCACCTCCCAAGGCAGTCTGTTCCACTGCTCAACCACCCTTACAGTCGGGAAGTTTCTCCTGATATTTAGCTGGTATTGACTCCCTTGTAATTTCCACCCATTAGATCTAGTCTTGCAATCCGGAGCAAGAGAGGATAGATCTGCTCCATCTTCTACATGACAGCCCTTCAGATACTTGAAGACTGCAATCGTGTCCCCTCTAAGCCTTCTCTTTCCCAGGCTAAACAGACCCAACTCTTTCAGCCTTTCCTCGTAAGACTTGGAGTCCAACTCACTCACCATCCTGGTTGCCCTCTTCTGGACACGCTCAACCTTGTCAACATCCTTCCTAAAATGTGGTGCCCAGAACTGGACACAGGACTCCAGGTGAGGCCTGACCATAGCAGAATAGAGCGGAACTACCACCTCCCGTGATCTGGACACAAGGCTTCTGTGAATGCCTCCTAAGATTGCATTCGCTTTCTTCACAGCCACATCGCACTGCAGGCTCATGTTTAGCTTGTGATCCACCAGAACACCTACGTAGATCCCTTTCACATGTGCTGCTGTCAAGCCAAGTCCCTCCCATTCTATATCTGTGCCTGTGATTTTTTGTACCTAAATGTAGGACTTTGCACACTCATGCTCATGTGCACATGAAAAATACAAAAAAAAAAAAAGAATACAGGCGTGTGAAGAGGGAAGAATTATCTTTGCAAGCTATTATTTTTATCTTTGCAAACAATGAAATCTATCCTTGCAAACGACGAAACCTATGATTCTATCGAACACTCGTCAGGGATACTGTCGGCTGATCCTGCATTGAGCAGGAGGTTGGACTCGATGGCCTGTATGACCCCTTTCAACTCTGTGATTCCATGAAAGACGGGGGAAAAAAATATCACTGCAAGGGAAGCAGAAACTCTCTCCCTTCTGGGCTACCTTTCTGCTTGCGTGCACGGAGTATCCGTGCAAAAGAATGTCCTCAACCAGAATCCATTCTGCCACTTCCGTCTTCTGCTAGCGTGTGTCCCCCCCCCCATACACACACTACGCAGAGGAAAGGGACCTCCCCCCAAGCACGTATTACCGAGGAGGGGTCCTCACTCACCACCAGCACCTTCCAGAGGAGGAGCAAGACTTTCTTCATGGGGAAGTGTGGAGCGTGCCCACTACAGAACTTGGTCACCATGGTGAAGAGTAAGAGGGCAAACGGCTCTTCACTGTGGACGGGGAAACCTGAGGAGAGAGGGGCAGGAAAGGGGCATTACAAAAAACCAGCCCTGCAAAGCGGGCCAGACCAAGAAGCCTGCCAGCCCGGCCTTTCTGCCTCCAATCTGAAACAGCGAGGAGACATGAGACCACAGGTTGTTTATTCACTAGGGAGGGAGGGAGAAGACTCAGAGCAGAAGACAACCGGGTCCCAGAAGTTGGAGAATGGATAAAGAAGCTACTTTTTATGGTTGAAATGGACAAAATGCCAAGGAAACTTAAAAATTTGGAAGCAGAAGAACTTTTTGCAGTCTGGAAAGACTTTAAAGAGTATTTAGAGAAACACTGGGATGTAAAGGACAATTTGCTTTGCTTTGATAGTTATTAAAATTGAAAAGTCAATAGAAATAGAAATAAATATATAAGGACAACAGTTGAAAGAGAAGTTACCTATAGATGTCTAATAAAGGGATAGGGATGTATGAAGAAAACTCAAGATATGGGCTGGAGTTTGGGACACTGTGGGAAGCCAAAAAAGGGGGGTGGGTAAGGAGAAAAGGATATAGAACAAGTTATTTTGATATATGTTTGATTATGTGTTATCCCAATAAATTGTGTTATAAAAAAAGAAAAAAGAACAGAAGACAACCGGAAGCGATTGCCAAAGGCTGCGATTTTGCATGCAAAATGGTGAACTCTCAGTGCCTCGAACCCCAAGACGCGGCCCTCCCTCCCGAACCTCCATTCCCTCCTTCGAACAAGAAGACTGAGTCGCGTAAAATAACCCTACCACACAACGGACAGCTCCGATCGAATCGCGCTTACTGGAGGGCAGGTGCCCCACACATTCGGGTCCTAACCTAACTGCACGTTCGTTTTGACCATCTCCTTTTAAACCTGGACTGAACAGTGCTTTAGAATCTTGGTTTGTAGGTGAAGGAACAAAGCAGGACATGCCAGTGTGGCGCAGTGCTTGAGAGGGTTGGACTAGTATCCGGGAGAACCGGGTTCGAATCCCCACTCATGCCATGGAAGCTGGCTGGGTGACCTTGGGCCTGTCACGCACTCTCAGCCCTACCATGCAGGGTTGTTGTGAGGGTAAAAGGGAGGAGAGGAGAAGGGCGTGAGCTGCTTTGGGTCCCCTTTGGGCAAAGAAGAAGAAGAGGAGGAGGAGGAAGAGGAGGAGATTGGGTTTACCCCCCACCCTTCACTACCCAAAGGTGTCTCAGAGCAGCTTAGAAACTCCTTTCCCTTCTCCTCCCCACAACAGACACCCTGTGAGGTAGGTGGGGCTGAGAGAGCTCTGACAGAAACTGCTCCTGAGAGAACAGCTCTGAGAGAACTTGTGGCTTGCCAAAGGTCATCCGGCAGCTGCACGTGGAGGAGCGGGGAATCCAACCCGGTTCTCCTAGATCAGCGTCTGCGCACTTAACCACTACACCAAACTGTGGTTGTGCATGAACCCATGAGGCCCCCTTTTACTGAATCAGACCCCTGGTCCATCAAGGTCAGTATCGGCTGCTCTGACTGGCAGCCGCTCTCCAGGGTCTCAGGTGGCGACTCACCTCCTGCCTGGTCCTTTTTAACTGGAGATGCCTGGGATTGAAGCAGGGACCTTCTGCATGCCAAGCAGAGGCTCTGCCACTGAGCCATGACCGCTACAAAAGTCTTGTAAGATAATCCTAATACACGACGACAGTCATATCCTCAGGGCTCAAGACTGAGTTTAAAGAAAGAGCACACTTCAGGCAGTTGCTGCCATTTTAACCGTGGAAGCAGCGCCTGCTGAAACATCACTTCGCCTGTTGATCCCTCTCTTACTCCAAGGACCTTAGGGGACCGGAGCAAAGAGGGACAAAGAGGGGCCGTGGCTCAGTGGCAGAGCCTCTTCTTGGCTTGCAGAAGGTCCCCGGTTCAGTCCCCGGCAGCATCTCCAGTTAAAAAGGACCAGGCAGGAGGTGATGGGAAAGACCTCAGCCTGAGACCCTGGAGAGCTGTGAAGAGGGGCTGTAGCTCAGTGGCAGAGCCTCTGCTTGGCATGCAGGAGGTCCCAGGTTCAATCCCCGGCATCTCCAGTTCAAAAGGACCAGGCAGGAGGGGATGGGGAAAGACCTCAGCCTGAGACCCTGGAGAGCTGTAAAGAGGGGCTGTGGCTCAGTGGCAGAGCCTCTGCTTGGCATGCAGAAGGTCCCAGGTTCAATCCCCAGCATCTCCAGTTAAAAAGGACCAGGCAGGAGGTGATGGGAAAGACCTCCGCCTGAGACCCTGGAGAGCTGTGAAGAGAGGCTGTGGCTCAAAGGTAGAGCCTCGCATGCAGGAGGTCCCAGGTTCAATCCCCGGCATCTCCAGTTAAAAAGGACCAGGCAGGTGGTGACGGGAAAGACTTCCACCTGAGACCCTGGAGAGCTGCAAAGAGGGGTCATGGCTCCGTGGAAGAGCCTCTGCTTGGCATACAGAAGGTCCCAGGTTCAATCCCCGGCATCTCCAGTTAAAAAGGACCAGGCGGTAGGTGATGGGAAAGACCTCCGCCCGAGACCCCGGAGAGCTGCTGCCAGTCTGAGTAGTCAGTACTGACCTTGATGCATTCAAAGGTCTGACTCAGCATGGCAGCTTCATGTCTAGAAATCCATGCAACTTGGTACCTCCTTGGTGGTGGTGGTGGTGGGGGAGCGGTAGGACATCTTCCCACCCTCTCAGTTCGGTGCTTCAGTGTGTTTCTTTAGCACCGGTCAACCCCGAGTCAAGGGACAAACTCACTCAGCTCCGTCCGGAAGGTTTCTCGGGAGGTTTTCCACTCTGGCAGGTCGGTCTCCTTCTCCGCCCGGATGGTTTCCACCATCAGGTACATGACGCTCAGCAGCACCCTGAAGGGAGATCAGAAGGACGGCTGACGCCCGATCGCACGCAAGGGTCCCCCCGGTCTGAAACCCGACAGGGCCGAAGTCTCAGCGCGTTCGCTCGAGTCACCCACAGTTAACTTGCTGCGCACCTTTTGGCCACAGCCCCATACGGGGGACGGAGAGAGAGGGGCTCGTGTGGGACTGAGATTTGTCACGCCTCCCAGTTCCAAAAGACTCCCTCGAGCAAAGAGAAATGCCGGCAGAGCAGAGCAAAATGCAGCCTCTGAGGAGAAAGAAGGGCCCCGTTTCCCACAATCCCATGCTCACAGGCACCCTCCCCCCCAGTGTAGCCAGGTTCCTCCGGGCAACCATTGGGAAGGGGAGCTTAGTGGCACTGTGGGGCTGCCATGCACAGGAAGTGATGTCATCGCGTATTCGGGCCACAACTCGATGGTAGACGCCTTTTCACCACAGAGTCTTTGCCCAAATACCAGAGCGTCCCACGTTGCCGGCGACGTCACGGCTACCTCAGCCTAGGCCTCTGCCCTGATGGCGGTTAGGTTCCCTCACTGATTGGTGGCTGGCTCACCTGAGGGCGGTGCTGTCGGCCAGGGAGATGGCCGGCTTCCTCAGGGCACTGCTACAAGCTTGGCTGTTGCTGGAATTGAACAGGGAAACCTCGTCAAAAGGGCACCCGGCAGTTCCTTCACTCCGGAAGCTTAGCTGGCAAAGCTCCCGTCTTGCCCTCATTCCTCACATTCATTATTCCTTTAAAATGTTTTCACTTCGCCTTTCCGCCCAATCAGGCCCCCCAAAGCGGCGAACGTGAAAGGATGTGAACAATTCAACACATTTAAACCCATAAAAAACATTTCAATAAAAAACACATAAACCTAGAAAACAAGGCGCACACAAGCAGTCTGTTTCGATGTATCTGAGGAAGTGTGCGTGCACGCGAAAGCTTATACCCAGAATTAAACTCTGTTGGTCTTAAAGGTGCCCCAGGACTCAAACTTTGCTGTGTTGCATAAACATGCAGCCGCAAGACCTGGGAGGAAGCTGATACTTACATAGGGGCGAATGGGAAACACCTGTGTGGAAAAGACGCTAAAGACTGCTAAGTGTCTAAAGTATGCAAATTATAATGATACAGAAACAGATGTAAATACAATGTAGAAAACAAGAAAGTAAATAGAATACTTTTTCTGTTCAGTTAAAAGAAGAAGAGGAGACTGGATTTATACCCCCCTGGCCCTTCACTACCCAAAGGAGTCTCAGAGTGGCTCACAAACTCCTTTCCCTTCCCCTCCCCACCACAGACACCCTGTGAGGTCAGTGGAGCTGAGAGAGCTCTGACAGAAATGGCTCTTTTTTCAAGAACAGCTCTTATCAGAACCACGGCTTGCCCAAGGTCATCCAGCCAGGTGCAAGTGGAGGAGTGAGGAATCAAACCCGGGTCTCCCAGATTAGAGTCCGCACACTTAACCACGACAGCAAACTGGCTCTTAGTTGTCCCAGCCCCACATTTCCACTAAACTCCCAAAGTAAAGAAAAGGTCAACCAGCAGCTGCATGTGGAGGAGTGGGGAATCAAACCTGGCTCTCCCAGATTAGAGTCCGCGCACTTAACCACTACACCAAGCTGCTTTGATTACTACTGAGGAAGATCTATGAAACGAAGTCAATATCCGGGTTCATCGCCTCTTTATGAATACCTTTGTTTCAAGAGAAAAGGTGTTTCCCATCTGGTCGATGCTTACTGTGTGTTCCTGGAACGCAGAAGGTCTTTATTGCTGCCAGTCCGGTCCCCGGGAGACCTGCCCTCTCCAGATGCAATGGCCAACCCAGGCCAAAGGCCGGATCCAGCCCCCAAACCACTCACACCTGCCCCCAACCGCCCCTCTGCATTTGCTTCCAAGTCAGAACAGCAGATGAGACAACCAGATAATGTGCTCTTGGGGGATTTCTTGATAGCACCCTGCCTTCATCCAAGCACACGCGCTCCATAAGAACAAAACTTTTCCTGCTCCAACCTGCACCCTGATTATGGAGCTTGGCCACACGTGTGTGTGTGCATGCGCACGCATGGCCCTCCGCACAGGACATTATGCGCACTGACTTCAAGCCATGCAAAGAGGAAGAAGAGAGAACAGACTGGATTCATACCCTGCCCTTCACTACTCAAAGGAGTCTCAGAGCGGCTTACAATCTCCTTTCCCTTCCTCTTCCCCACCACAGACACCCTGGGAGGTAGGCGGGGCTGAGAGAGCTCTTTTGAGAACTGCTCCTGAGAGGACAGCTCTGAGAGAACTTGTGGCTGACCCAAGGTCACACCAGCAGGCGGCATGTGGAGGAGTGGGGAATCAAACCCGGTCCTCCCAGATTAGAGTCCACGCTCCTAACCAGTACACCAAACTGGCTCAGCAGCAGAAGGGTGCTGGCCCCGCTTTTTGCAGGATCACTAGATCCTGAGCACGGGATCTACGTTCAAAAAAGTGGTGGAGAGAGAGCCTATCTGCCTACACTTCCTACACACAAGCAGGGCCAGAATGGCTCATGCTCCCTCCCCCTCTATGCATGCTGAAAGCATCGCAAATAACATTGCATGTAGAGGGCTGGTGCACATGCACATGGACAGAGAAGAAGAAGAGAGGATGAGATTTATACCCCGCCCTTGACTACCCAAAGGAGTCTCAGAGCGGCTTACAAACTCCTTTCCCTTCCCCTCCCCACAACAGACACCCTGCGAGGCAGGCGGGGCTGCTGAGAGAGCTCTCTCGAGGACTGCTCTTGAGAGAACAGCTCTGAGAGAACTTGTGGCTGACCCAAGGTCACACCAGCAGCTGCAGGTGGAGGAGTGGGAAATCAAACCCGGTTCTCCCAGATTAGAGTCTACCGCTTTTAACCACCACACCAAACTGGGTGTCCACGTCTCAGTTTGTGGTGAGATACACTTCCAATTCCCTAGCCACTGCTCGTGGTACTAGAGCAAAACCAAACTACAGGAGCTGCCGCCCATCTCTTCATGCTCTCTCTGAGAGCCAGTTTGGTGTAGTGGTTAGGAACGCAGACTCTAATCTGGGAGAACCGGGTTTGATTTCCCACTCCTCCACCTGCAGCTGCTGGTGTGACCTTGGGTCAGTCACAAGTCCTCTCAGGGCTGTTCTCTCACGAGCAGTTCTCAGAAGAGCTCTCTCAGCCCCACCTACCTCACAGGGTGTCTGTTGTGGGGAGGGGAAGGGAAAGGCGTTTGTGAGCCGCTCTGAGACTCCTTTGGGTAGTGAAGGGCAGGGGATGCATCCAATCTCCTCCTCCGCCTCCTCTTCTTAGAGAGCCAGTTTGGTGCGGTGGTTAAGTGCGCGGACTCTAATCTGGGAGCACCGGGTTCGATTCCCCGCTCCTCCACTTGCACCTGGCTTGATGACCTTGGGCAAGGCATAGTTCTGACAAGAGCTGTTCTTGAAAAAAAGCAGTTTCTGTCAAGAGCTCTCTCAGCCCCGCCGACCTCACAGGGTATCTGTGGTGGGGAGGGGAAGGGAAAAGGAGTTTGTAAGCCGCTCTGAGACACCTTTGGGTAGTGAAGGGCGGGGGTAGAAATCCAACCTCTTCTTCTTCTTCTCTGTATTCCATTTCACAAGTCATAAGGCAATGAGGCCCACAGACCAGCACGTGTATATATATATATATGTGTGTGTGTGTGTGTGTGTGTGTGTGTGTGAGAGAGAGAGAGAGAGAGAGAGAGAGAGAGAGAGAGAGAGAGAGAGAGGATATTAGCGCTTCCTCTTCTTCCAAACGACTTCCCAGAACTGACTCAAAGGCCAGGAGTGCTTAACGAGCACGGGGATCGCAACGTTCTGCCAAAAAAGACCTTCTTACGCCATCTCCATGTTGAGCATCTCCAGGAAGGCCGTGAAGGTGCCCATCTGGTATAAGAGGAAGTTGTTGTAGCGCGCCCAGTACAGGACCTCCGCCTCCGTATCACACTCGCCGAAGACACCTGGGAAAGCGGGAGGAGGGACAAGAGAGGCGTCAGGCCCTCCTTTCTCAGCTTGAGAAGTTCGATACCGGGAAAAAAATTCTACTTTGTAATCTACCGACATCAAAGTGGTGAGCAGGTGAGCAGGTGATTTGGCTACTGCATAAGTTAGCATCCTCTGGAGCCGTCCCTTCCTGAGCCATGACAGAAGTGATTAACTTGCAGCAGCTGAGAACTGTCCTCTAAAGCGGTTGACAGCTTGCAGTTTAGAGATCTGTCCTGGCAACAGCTTCCTATTGGCTAAACAGCTTTTCTTTCTGCACGGAGAACTTCAGCCCCACCAGCTAACATTAACTCGAACACCGCTCCACACCCTCAAAGGATTTGAACGGACCACAGGGACATCCTCCTGCAAATCCCTTGCGCTCACGCTTCTGCGGAATCCGGCACAACTGCCCGGAAACCTAAAAAAAATTCTGTAGCAGCCAAGGCTGGGCAGAGCAGAGACTAGCCAACCGTTTCGATCCTGTGGGCCCCTTTGACATGCTGACACAGGATGGTGGCCACAGCCCACAAAATGGCCGCCACGGGAGGCCAAATGTCAGGAAGCGAGGTCATGTATCAATATAAGATTGTAACTCTTCAGCAGAAGCTCTGTTGACCAGAACAGAATTACAGAATCATAGAGTGGGAAGGGACCTCCAGGGTCAACCCCCTGCACAAGGTAGGAAATTCACAAATTCCTCCAGGGTTCATTTCTTGCGGGAGCGCACAGGAGCGGAGCTCCGGCAGTAAGGAGCCCAGGGGGCAGGCACATGCAACAAGCCCCACCCCCTGCTCCCAGCAGCCCTCAGTCAGAGCAAGAAGCAGCCAGGTAAGCTGCAGAGCCCCCTCCCCCGGCCCCTCAGTCCAAAACAGTCCAGTGGCACCCTTAAGACCAAGTGTTAATCAGGTACAAGCTCTCTCTCCTCTGTGAGGACAGATCTGCACATCCCCCCCCCCCAATACCTAGCAATCCAAAACAGTCCAGTGGAGCCTGAGCGGTGGGTGTTGCCTTCTGGCACACGGTGATGTCAGGGGGCGTGGCACATGCAAATAAGTTATGCTAATGAGTTATGCTAATGAGCTCCTGCACCTCTTTTTCTGCGAAATGACCCCTGAATACCCCCCACACACACCCCGTGACCCCTACTCTGTGCCCAGAAGAAGTAAGAAAAAAACCCCTCCAGGATAATCCATCCAAACCAGCCTGGAGAAAATGGCTTCCTGACCCCAAAGAGGCGATCGGCGTTTCCCTGGGCGTGTAAGAAAGCGCCTCGAGAACCAAGCACTGAGGCAACCCTCCCGGCCTTCGTGTGATCTGTAGGGGCTGTCCGATGGCCGTCTAGTCTTTTACTCTTCACAGTCAATCACATCTCCAGTGGCCAATCAGAAGCCCCGCTGGGCGAAAGTCCCACTTAGCCCCACCCACTTTCCCAAAAAATCTGTTGGGCACCAGGAACGGTGTCAGCAGGTGTCCCGCTGCCCACGAACACCATGTTGGAGACCCCTGGGAGACAGCGTCACCAAGGAAAGGGACAAACCATTCCAGAAGGCAAAAGCCAGCCGCAGGAAATGGAGAAAGTAGCAAAAACGGGAGAAAATTACCCCGAAATGGATTAATTACTCAGAATTAAGCATCCTCTTATTTAGAAATATACGGAGGATCTTGGCTAACTTTCGGGAGATGCAAGTGTGAGATGCTGGTTTTACCAGCAGAGAAATGCAGATTCCCAGAGGTGGGCATGGAGGGGGTTGGATCCCGTGAATCTTTCCCACTAACGGAGGCCCCTCGGCCTCTCGCATCAAGGGAACGTCACACTGGGAGAAGGCAGCACCCACCATCAGTGCGACAGGGCCACAAGATCCAGCAGGGCTTTTGGGGACTCGCCCCCCCTTTCTTAAAGGCACAGCCCCCACAAGAATTTCTCCTGTAAATACTTTTCCCAATCACTTTAAAACATTTTTAAAAGGTGTGCGCTCTTTGAAGCAGGGTGGGGTGCGGTAGCTGCACTGGGCAAGAGGGTTGGCGTAGGTGACCTCTAGGACCCCTTCCGACTCCGTGTCAAGAAACTGGTCTCCTTTAAGAGAGTTTCCCTGCCCAAGTGTTGGCTTTCTGGACTCTACAAGTCATCACTCCCACCTGCCGGCTTGTTCTCAGAACTGTTGCTTCGGCTGGCAGCAGTGATTAACTTGCAGCAGCTGAGAACTGTCATCTAAAGCGGTTGACAGCTTGCAGTTTAGAGATCTGTCCTGGCAACAGCTTCCTATTGGCTAAACAGCTTTTCAGGGAACACTCCGCCCACACCAGAAAAAAACCCTGCCCCACAAGCCACAGAACCCTGCCTTCGGGCCTGGCAGGATGCAGCACACAATTCTGCTATTGCACCCCGATTATGTACTAAACACACCCTCCCGCATTGGATCTTGGCGACTGCGGTTTCAACCGTTTCCCACAAATTGCTTTACATTGGTGGAATTCTTGCAGATCACCCAGCGGAGTGCCAAATGTGGCTGAAAGGCACCCCAGAGTCGGCTAAAAGCAATCATTCCAAGAGTAAGTTCTATATTAAACATAGTTCCGTTTCCCACAAATTGCTTTACGTTGGTGGAATTCTTGCAGCTCACCCGGCGGAGTGCCAAATGTGGCTGAAAGGCACCCCAGAGTTGGCTAAAAGCAATCATTCCAAGAGTAAGTTCTAT